GGCAAAGAGGCAGTCCTCGTGGAAACTATAAGAAATTATTTTTAGACTAAAGAAAGTATCACATGGGAGCCTTTCGAAGAAATGGGTCCAGATAACGGAAAAGTACCGATATTTTCGCTAAGAATTTCTACGAGTCAATATCTAATTATACAGAAATTTCCTTAAATTCACTTCTGTCCCTTCCACTCTGCAAAAACCATACTTCTGCCTCTGAAAGCAGAAAAGTGGTCTCTGGGGAAGGACAGACCCATGAGCTTCATCCGGCACGGCATTTTCACTGAAACTTTTGGCTCTCAAACTGCAAAAACCACCAAACTCAAAAACCACATATCTGGCCCTAAAAGCAGAAAGACAGGGAGCTTGGTCTCGATGGAAGAAAGAAATATGGCCTCAGGCAGCAAGAGACTTTCGCCAGAAGTTTCTGGGTGTCAATGATTATACAGAACTTGCTTGAAATTTACTTCTGGCCCTTTTGGTCTCGAGGAGAAAACACTAATAAGCTCAGCCAGCAAGATACTCTCGCTGAAACTTTCTGGGTGTCAATGTTTATTCATACTGAAACTTGCTTCAAAAATTTACTTCTGGCCCTTCTACTTTGCAAAAAAACCATACTTCTGCCTCTAAAAGTAAAAAATCACAAAGTGCTCTCGAGGGAAGGACAGACCCATGAGCTTCATCCGGCACGGCATTTTCACTGAAACTTTTGGCTCTCAAACTGCAAAAACCACATATCTGGCCCTAAAAGCAGAAAGACAGGGAGCTTGGTCTCGATGGAAGAAAGAAATATGGCCTCAGGCAGCAAGAGACTTTCGCCAGAAGTTTCTGGGTGTCAATGATTATACAGAACTTGCTTGAAATTTACTTCTGGCCATTCTACTTTGCAAAAACCACACTTCTTCCTCTAAAAGCAAAACAGTACAGAAAGCTTGGTCTCGAGAAAATGGCAGAACCATGAGGCTTCATGCGACAAACATTTTCGCTAAGGCGTCTGACCTCCTAGACTTTGCAAAAACCAGTGCTTCTGCCCCTAAAAGCAGAAAAGCACAGGGAATTTAGTCTCTAAGGAAGGACAGACCCATGAGCTTCTTGCAACAGGACATTTTCACAGAAACTTTCGGCGCATTCTACTTCGCAAAAACCAGTACTTCTGCCGTGAAAGCAGAAAAGCACAGGGATTTAGTCTCTAGGAAAGGACAGACCCATGAGTTTCATCCGACAGGACATTTTCTAAGACTTTTGACTCCCAAACTCCGCAAAAAACCATAAAACTCAAAAACCACACTTCTGGCCCAAAAAGCAAAAAAGCACAAGGAGCTTGGTCTCGAGGGAAGTAAGGATTATGGCCTCAGGCAACAAGATGTTTTCGCCAGAAGTTTCTGGTTGTCGATGTTTCATTATACAGAAACTTGTTTGAAATTCGTGGCCATTCTACTCTGCAAAATCCATACTTCTACCCCTAAAAGCAAAAAGCACAGATAGCTTGGTTTCGAGGAAAAGAGACTCATAAGCTCAGCCAGCAAGATATTTTCGCTGAAAACTTCTGGGTGTCAATGTGTATTCTACAGAAACTTGTTTGAAATTCACTTGCGGCCATTCCACTCTGCAAAAACCAGACTTCTGCCTCTGAAAACAGAAGAGTGGTCTCGAGGGAAAGACAGACCGGGAGACGGTCAAGAGGCGCGATTTTTGGCTGCCACCAACTTAAAACTTCAGTTTCTCGCTATGGGAGTGTTCAAAAAGTGTCGGACAAAGTCCATCGGCTTACTAGCTGTTTGAAGTAACCCTTTGATAAGTTCGACGACTTTTGCTAGAAAACTGACCGAAATAGTTACAAAATTGCTATAAACTGCATTTTCATGGGTTTTTGACCTTCAACAATTTTGTTTTGAATCGCTTTCAAAATGATAAGATCGAAGAATTCCTGCGATTCTCTAATGTACTTCTTTTGAAATTTCAAATAATCCTGGAACTTCATAAAACACTAAGTATGTGCTATATACTGCCCATCTGGTAATAAGAATCGCGCCTCTTGACATACATCCAGACAGACCCATGAGCTTCTTGCGACAGGAAATCATCTTTGCTGAAAATTCTGGCCTTCTGAACTTTGCAAAAACCACACTTGTCCCTAGAAGCAAAAAACAGGGAGCTTGGTCTCGAGGGAAGAAAAGACTCAGGGCTCAGGCAGCAAGATATTTGCGCTAAAAGTTTTTAGGTGTCAATATTTGATTATACAGAAACTTGCTGGAAAAATTACCCTTCTTCTCAACCATACTTCTGCTAAAAGCGGAAGCATAAGGAGCTTGGTTTCGAGGGAAGGGAAGAACTAGGGTTTTATACGACAGGACAGTTTCGGTAAGATTGTCCTTCAAAAGAAGGCGCTGGGCCAGTTTCTATTCAAATGAGCCCGTTCACTGGCAAGACATCATCGAAGAAAATGCTGCTTCGTTTTTACCGACAAATCTGAGTTTTTGGCTGCTGGAAGACATAAATTGACGCTTCCTTTAACATGGTACTTTCCTGGAAATCAATCTGAGTTTTGGGATGAATCAGCTGCTCTAAACAGGTGCTTCGAGGTAGCTTCCTTGTTTAAGAGCTGTTGTATCTGGGCAAAGGTATGTGCAAGAAAACAGCAAAGCTGCTTTGCGCATAGTCAGTGGTAGTAGCTTCTTTTCCTAAGAGCATAGTGTTTTGTTTCTACTACTCACAACATGCGAAAGGTCGCTGGGAAGATGAAAATTCTCTTTCTTGGGATTTTAGTTAATGTATCAATGTATCTGCCCCCACCCACCTACTAGCGACCCGTAGGGTCGCTAGTCTTATATATAAAGCTGAATGTCTGTATGTATGTATGTATGTATGTATGTATGTATGTATGTATGTATGTCTGTCTGTCTGTCTGTCTGTCTGTATGTATGTCTGTCTGTACGTATGTTCCGAATAGAAAATTCCATTTCTGAACCGATCCGGACCAAACTTGGCATACATACACTACGGGCCCCGGCGGGTGTCATAGGCTACTTTTCGTCATCGATCGATATCGATTTTATCGATTTTTATCGATTTTTTTGCTGAGTTCACCTACGGGGCTGGGAGTTGGCACAGGGGGGTAATCGAGCATGGGGATTCCGAATACAATATTGGTTTTCAGGATTATCGATTACTTTTATCGATTTTATCGATTTTTTTGCAAAGTTTGAGCTAGGGGGCTGAGAGTTGGCACAGGGGGTAATCGACCATGCTGATCACTCCCAAGGGGGGTGATCAGCATGCTCGATTACACCCATGTGCCAAATTCCAGTCCCCTAGCTCAAATTTTCAAAAAATCGATAAAATCCATAAAAGTAATGGACGATCTTGAAAACTAATATTGTTTTCGTAATCAGCATGCTTGATTACCCCCCTGTGCAAACTCCCAGCCCCGCAGGTCAAACTTTACAAAAAAAATCGATAAAATCGATAAAAGTAATGGACGATCCTGAAAACTAATGTTGTGTTCGTAATCAGCATGCTTGATTACCCCCCTGTGCAAAATCCCAGCTTCGCATGTCAAAATTTACAAAAAATCGATAAAATCAATAAAAGTAATCGATAATTCTGAAAACTAATATTGTATTCGGAATCCCCATGCTCACTTCCCCCCCTGTGCCAACTCCTAGCCCTGTAGGTGAACTCTGCAAAAAAATCGATAAAAATTGGTAAAATCGACATCGATCGATAACGAAAAGTGGACTGTGACACCCGCCGGGGCCCGAAGTGTATGTGTGTGTTTGGTCCGGATACGGCGGAGCCGGGTAAGCCAGCTAGTATACTATATGCAGCGCTGCTAAACGTGTTTTTAACAGAAGTTAGCGAAATCTCAGGATATCGAAATCTTCGATGAATCGCTGTCCGTCTGAGGTTCATCGAGAAAATCAAAACCAGCACAATCCATATATTTTGTCGAAAACCTCACTAGCAGTGACATAGTAAATCCTCCGTAAACTATTAACTTCCTCGTTCACAGCGCACATATAACGCTAGGACTATTTGGTCTAGTATAAACGGACAAATGCTAGGAAGAGCATAGTGCAAAGTATTGTGGAAAAATTATTTGAATGGACGTTGTGCAAGTTTCTTTTTTGAAAATTTTCCACTACAGTCCTTCTGAACCTGGAGTAGGCGAAACATTCCAAGTGGAGCAGCGCGTCCGCACCGCCACTGGCTCAGCGAGATAGATTACAACGAGGAGACGCAGATTGTAAAACGGCGCGAATCGTTGCGAGGACTCCCGCCAGTTCAGTTTTCGCCTAAAGTGAGATGAAACTTACTATACCAAGAAACGGAAAAATGACTCGCTTGCAGCACACAGAAATGGCACGAAACTTGGTGTGTACGCGCAATGGGACTAAGGAACAGAGTGTGAAAAATCGTAAAAAGCTTATGTAAAGAAAGTGCCCAACTTTTTTCTTCAGATTAGTTTTCGGCCAGACTGCGCGACATACGCGACGCATATGACGTACAGCGTTTCGAAATTTAAAGTTTGCTCTACACTTGAAGTTTACACAATAGTAACATTCTGTGGCCGTATTCATCAACGAACCCTAAGGGTTAAGCTTACCCTCCAGGGTTAGTCTAACCCTCAGGGTTCACTGGCCGTATTCATCAACCATAGGGTAAGGTTTTTCACGAAATGCAATCCACCCGTATCGATCAGCGAACCTGTGGCCGTATTCATCAACCATAGGGTAAGGTTTTTCACGAAATGCAATCCACCCGTATCGATCAACGAACCTGTGGCCGTATTCATCAGCGAACTCTCAGGGTTAAACTAACCCTGGAGGGTTAAGGCGTCAGTTACGCGTGCGCTGTGCAAGCTCACATCACAGAATGCCTACAGTCGGTGTCAACGATGTGCTTCCTTGCCGTCCAGCTCAAGTGCAACGCTAGGACCGCGTGTCGCGTTCGCGGGCGTACTGTGAGCGTTCAAATCTGCCGCATTGATCGCAGATCGCTGCGCAATGCCAACGTGCTGCGGATGCGTAGACACTAAGGAAGGGTGAGCACGTGGTTGACATCGATTGTAAGTACGTGCTAAATTCACTTTATACTTCTATTCTTTCACTGTTATAGTAGTATAATCAACGAATAAGCTTCTAACGCTAGTTTTTATAATACACCTCTAGCATATTTGTGCAGCATTCAATCTTACAGCGTGAGTCTATTTTCATGTGTGCACTTGTGCCGTGTAAGTTCTACTTTTGCACAGTCCGTTTCCGGGCTTGTGCTATTTTTTAGGGGTCAATGCGTGTTATCATAAAGGGGTTCTTCTGTTTTGGGAGTTGTCAGAGTGGAATGCGCAACCATTTTTCGTCGTCGCATTCATTTATCACCAAAGCTAGAATTCTTTTCTCGCGAAGTCAGTGTTTCATGTACTTCGAATTTGAACATAGAACGAAGTCGAAACTAAATACTGTGACAACAACTAATATCAAACACTACAATACTCGTTGATTGTTTTCCATAAAACTATTAGATGCGAGTAAATGTTTGTATGAAGTGTTAGGGTCGAGTTAACCTTGCTCTAAGCTAGGATTATAACCCTGATGAATCACGTAAGTTTTACCTTCCAGGGTTAGTTTAACCCTCAGGGTTCGTTGATGAATACGGCCACTGGTTCCAGAACTCTCCTCTTCTCCTTGTCAGGATCCAAAATGGCGATGGCGCCGCTCGTGTAAGAAAGTGCGCTCAAGCGCAGCCCGTGGCTGGCGCGATCATGTAGAAAATCGTGAAAAGGAAGGTAAAGGCGTCGTTTAAGAGGACTTACCACCCTTGTGCTGGGCTCTGTTTGCCATCCATTATAGTAGTATCAAGTGTAAAAACCTTCATGACATAGACAGAAGAAGAAGAATAACACTTGGGGCCGCATGCACTAACATCCCTGCGGCGAGGGGAGCGGCGTCCCCAATGATGAAAAAGCCGCAGCGGCGTCCGCACGCGGTCCCTTCATAACGGGGGACGCCGCTCCCCTCGCCGCAAAAATGTTAGTGCATACGGGCCTTACCCTCTTGGATCCCTCTCCTCTCATCAATGGTTATTTACGTGCAAACGAACACTTGGCTAAAAGCCTCTAGTGATTTTAAAACTGAAGTAAAATGCGTCTGGCCTGCTCTCATAGAGGCTATTACGGATGCCTTCATTCTACACTCATGCATCTTAACTGATATGCTCACGATACTATTCCACATTAGTTGACCCAAAAAATGAAAACCGTGAATTTCGATAAAACTTTGTCTAAGGGGGGTTATTTGGTATGCTAAACACGAATATGATGTTTAATTCGTGCGACAGCGCCATCCGGTGGAGTTACGGTAGGATTACGGTAGGGGGTTAAAATCATAGATTTGCCCAAAACTTGGCCCCAGAGGGGTTATTCTGCCCGCTGATGCCATTTATCACATTGGTTTTGAACCGTAGAGTCATTTTCTCGGGTTACGGTAGCTACACGGTAACGGGTGTAAAACATAGTTCTGCCTGAAACGGGTGTACGGCGATTCGGACGATTGTGAAGCTTTGCACACACGACCACCGCCCGCGCTACACACCCTGCTGCGGCTTTTGTCTAAGCAAAGCATAGGGGAAAGTTACGTAAAGTTACATATTTTCTGAAGGCGGAGAACGAGACGGTTCCAATGGTGACCACCACGGCGTACAGAATGTTCATCTACAAAATTTATGAATTTTTTTATGTTAAAAACTCGAACATCTCCAGAAATCACTAGGACACCCTTCAACCAGGCATTTTTTGAGGGACTCTAGGCAAAGTATATATTTTCTAAAAGCGGAGGACGAGAAGGTTCCAACGGTGGCCATCTCGCCTTAAAATATGTTCATCTATATCTATATCTACATCTATATCTTTATCTACAAAAGCTATGAATTTATTGTGTTAAGAACTCCAAGATGTCCAGAAATCACTACTCACACCCGTCACCAAGCACTTTTCTCAACAGACTCCTCCATTCCTGTACGTAAACAATTCACGTACAGATATCTCCTTTGCTTAACCTTACCTCACTGTTGATTACTTTCTCGGCTTTTGATGAAGGGGGTCACCTTGGTCCCGGCTCAGGGGTGAAGAGGGGAGAAAATTCTCACACTATCGCACCTATGGTACATACATACATATACATACATAACCTTTGATTCAACTGGCTTGGCACCATTAGGGCGGGGTTTTGTGATCTATTTGAGGCCGCTCGCGCCCGCGACGCACCTGCGTCTCTCTCGCGCGAGTGCTCTCTGATCATTACCTAGCCTTAATTAGGTCACGAAGCCCCGCCTTTACCGATGCCAAACCAGTTGAATCAAATGGTACATACAGACGACAAACAGACATTCAGCCATATTCTCGATACATAGAGCCACGTGCTCTGGTAACCTTCACTTTGAGGGCTATGGGGAGACACAACCTTCACCTGGAAAAAAAGTTATTATCCTGACTATATTGGAACGAATGTTAATGAAGCAAATATAGGGAATGATATCTTTAGTTATCTCAGCGAAACCGAGAATTTGCGTTTTCAAAGCCTTTTTTACCTTAAAAAGAAGGTTCCGTGGAATCTTCGCCAGAATTCAAGACAAAATCTCTCAGTTATCCTCTCATTTGAATAAAATCGAGTTTCAGAAGTTTAGGAAAGCTATTGGAGTTAAATAAAAACGAGAAACTGCGCTTAAATCTTGCGCAGAGAGTCGCGCACGAAAACGCTGGTCTATCTTGTTAATGAGTGATTTTCAAATCTGGGGACGTTGTCATTTCTCCTCGACGTGTCATGACGATCAGAATGATATATAATGTTGCAGGGTTTCGTTGAGACCCCGCGGAGATCTACTACCAGAGCCAAATGTCCCGTCGGCTCTGGTCTGTCTCCGCTGCTCGTCTGCGTCTCCGTGCGCCGCGCGCTACCTCGCTACCCTAAAAGCGGGGCGCGGGGCATTTGGCTCTGGTACCCTTTTCTTCGCTCTTTCGAACCCAATTTTAGCAAGGTATATATCATTTTGAAGCTCTTGATCTCTATTTTCACGCTGACAACGTCCCAGAACCGCATTTTTTGATTTGATCGAGAAATCCGGCAAAAACCTTGTTTTCTAAAATGTCTTGTTCTTCTCCTAGATTAACTATTTTCACGCGCTTTTTTCGTGCAATCTATAGATCTTGCTTCTGTTCATAATGCAGACAACCACTCAGCCCTTACCTCTTTGATTATGGTGGAATTTTTTGCGAAAAATCGTAAAAAGTGTGTTTTTCTTTACCTTGTTCTGTTTCAGTGCTTTCGCATCGATTTTTTTCCAGCTTGGGCGATTATTGCTCAGAACAATAAGCGCAACAATCCAGACAACGTCCCAGTAAACAGGAACGTCAGTGTGGGTGTAAAAATTTAAAGGACGCATCAAAAATCAAAACCCCGTGTTGCGAATTGCTGGTCCTGGAGCGAAAACTTGCACTTTGAAAAGTCGCCAAATGAAAGGTTGCAGACCTCTTTGCAGCGTTTTTATCCGGTTTTCAGCAGTTTCTTTTGCTTTTTATATCTGTTTTACGTCATATTCTCTTCTCTGAACTTCTTCAAACAACTTTCATTATTTATGACGTCATATGTTCAAACAACCTTCACTTTTGACGCCCTGTCTCTAGACTATAGAAGGTATGCATTCAGCTTTAGGTGGACTGCCGTGCCGGCAAAGTCCCATCATCACCTCCCCGCAGTGCCGGCTGGCTACGAAGATCAACCCCGGCAAACGGCGAGGGCACTGTTCCGTCATGCGGAGCGACGAGCCGGGGACTGTACGAATCAGTCATGTCACATGCATCGTACTACTAAGAATTTTCGTCAAGCTGCTAGGGCGTCCCCCGCAGGCGACGCGCGTCATTGCCCGCATGGCGCGAGTAGTGAGCTGGGGCTACCTGCTCCCGGACAAGCAGGCCAAAGAAGAGAGTCCAGGAAGTTCGACTAGCGACGATCATATAGGAACATTAACGAGCCACAGTCGAGAGCTATGCGATAGATTAAGGGAACATCGCATGTGTACAAGAAACAAAATGGAAGGGAAGGCAGGCTAAGGACATCGGTGAGGGATACCGCCTCCACTACAATGGAGATAGCAGCCGCCAGAGCGGAGTCGCGATCATGTGGCGGTAAATACCGAGAGTTAGTGACCAAGGTGACGCGTATTTCAGACAGACTGATGGCGATAAAGACCGAAACGGATGACGTAATACTTCGAGTAGTGTCGTGCTACGCCCCGCAACCCGCATGTGTCGACCCTGAGAAGGATATTTTTTGGAGGGACTTCGACACCCTACTAAGAACATTCGACCGCAGACTACATCTTCGTAGGAGGCGATCTTAACAAGTATGTTGGCCACGCACATGGTTTCAAGCGACACCATAATGGAAATGGATATGCTGAGAGGAACGAGAATGGAGAACGCATCCTGAAATCCGCCGAGCCACACGACTTGGCTATAGCGAACACATTTTCAAGAAGCGGGAGTCGCATTTGATCACATGTGCGAGTGGAGACCTCTCAACTCAGATTGACTACTGGATGCTGCGCCTATGCCACTTGCCGATGGTGATGAAGACGAAGGTGATACCCACGGCGACACATGCATTTGCGCCACAACACCGGTTGCTCGTGTTGGATCTTCGACTAAACATCCACTTGCATTTACGAGCCAGGAGGACGATCACAAAGAGGATCAGAATGTGGAAGCCTTATGAACATCGCCAGCAATTCAGAGATGCTTTCAACGATCTGGAGGTGTCGACGGATGATAAGGAATCAGTTGAAGAACAGTGGAATCGGATTACTTCGCTGATACGATCCAGGGCCGAGGAGATCTTGGGGACCATCAAGCCAGGAATGATATCCACGAAAGTCCATAATGGAGGAAAATGGACTTTCAAGCCCCATTTTATTCGTTTGCGGTGGAGAGTGGTTGGAATCTGCCTTCGCTCGCGTTATCCAAAATTTTTTATCCCATCGCAACCACGAGGCAAAGCGGTGTGATGAAAATGATTCAACCCTACTTGAGCTCTCGCTTGCGAAAGAATCATGCGAAAAGTCCATTTAGAATGGGGAAAAATGGGATTTACCTCCATTTTAAATGGACTTGAAAGCCCATTCTACTCCCAGCAGCATGGTGAGCTGGGACTAAGCCCATTTTTGATATTTTGCACATTTTTGAAGGCGATTTTTTGAGAATGTGATCCTTAGCCCATTCTAAGGTAGCAAGTGAGTGGAGAAAGTTTCATGTCTTTTATGATGTCTGAAATAAGTGTTTCTTTCTAAACTCATACAAATGCTATAGAAATCATGGAAGAAGGTTAAATTTACCAAAATATTTGCTAACAAACTCAAATGCTTCCAAATATCAGGTCGATGCGAAAATTATATGTAAATCAAATAAATTTTGTTAACTCTTCAAATCATTGACCAAAACTAAATTCATGATTTGTATCTGAAAATAAAAAAGATCTGCGTGTCAATATAATTACTCAGAAACTATCTTTTGACTAATCTCGCAGAACCGAACCTCAAAAACGGCATTTTGAACGCGATTTTGAGTTTGGTTGCAAGAATTACTAAAATGGCGCCAGCTAGCAAGAAAATTTCTGTGAAAAATTTCTTACTAGCAATAGCCCGTACATTCAACTATTTAGAGATATAAACATTCGTGCTAAAAGGGAAAGAAGAGCTGAAGTAGAACATTTGTGAAGTCATCTTGCAGATTCGTAGTTTTTTCAACTTGAAAAACCTTTTGGGTTGTAGTGTAGTACAAGGTTTCCTATAAGGTAAGCATTATAATTCACAGACTTCAGTGAAAGTCTAGCCAAAGTTTGCTTTCTGCAAAAAGCTCTACCTACGAATTTGACTCAAGCAGATTCATAGAAATTTTGGAAGGCCAAGAGCCGGATTTTGCATTAATTTTAGTTTTAAACGTGATTTAGATGCATAGTCATCGAAAATAAATGGCATTTTATGAGGTGTAAGGAAGCGGGAAAGAATAAAATATCCAAGTGATTGTCACTTAATGTTGGCTCAGCCTAATTAGATACCGACCACTTGGTGGAAATGAGTTTGCAAGAGTGAGCAAACAGGTTGAGGCAAGTTAAAGAAAGGTTTGCTGAAGAAATTTTGTATGGAATGAATGGATTCGCGAATGCGATATCTTATCGCATCGCATGGACTAAGTCCATTTTATTCGCACAAAAAGCCCATTTCGCGGGGACTTTCGTGGATATCATTCCAGGATGCCGGTTTGTCGACAAGCAGATATGTGGTGGTGGTCTGAGCAATCCAGCAAGTAATCAAAGAGAAGAAAGAAGCCTTCAAAGCCTGGTGGCGCTCACACTCAAATGAGGATCTCCGTCGATATCGAAAACTGAACTTGAGAACGAGGCAGGCGGAAGACGAGGCAGAGGAAGCACACTACAAGAGACTTTACGACAAGCTGGAAGGACCCTGCTAGAGCTAACAAGGTCCACCAACTAGCCGCTGCACGACATCGAGCGAAACAAGACATCGACCACGTCATGCACATTAGGAACGCAGAAGGTAATCTTCTGACGAAGCCGAGGGCAATTTAAGCGATGGAGTGAATACTACAAAGGTCTATGTAATGAGGAGTTTCCGCACCCGTTAGTACTTAGTACCGCAAGGAGCCCCCACATTTGGACCGGTACCTCGGATCGAGAAGGCAGAAGTTGTGCAGGCATTGAGGAAGATGTTTAGCGGTAAAGGCCCTGGACTTGACGACATACCTGCTGAAGTATGGAAGATGATGGGGCAGCTTGGAGTGGCACATCTCACATCGCTCTTCAACATCATCGTCGACGGGAAGGTGCCACGAATCTGGACTAAGAGTGTTACAGTCCCTATCTGGAAGAAAAAGGGCGACGTCAACGACTGTTCAACATATCGACCGATACGCTTGCTATGTCACACGATGAAGATCTTCGGAAGAGTCATCGACGCACGCATCCGACATAGCGGAAGTCACCCCGAACCAGTGCGGCTTTGTAAAAGGATCTGATACCATCAACGCCATCCATGCAGTACGATTGCTAATGGAACGTCGTTTGGAGAAACGGATTTCGATCCATTTCGCATTCTTGGATCTAGAAAAGGCATTTGATCGGATACCACACGGGCTCATCTGGTATGCGCTGAGACAACACGACGTCCCAGAAGAATACGTTCGCTAGATCAAACTTCTCTACATTAACAGGACGGGCGCCGTGCGCTGTGCAGTGGGAACGTCAACGCCACTCCCAGTCCAAGTCGGAGTACATCAAGGATTGGCTCTATCACCACTTCTCTTTATGCTGTGCACACAGTGACCAGGGACATTCAGCTGGGGCACCCGTGGACGCGCTTTTACGCATATGACGTTGAGTTAGCAAGCGGATCGAGACAGGAGTTTGAAGAGGCGACCGTGAGATGGAAGACACGATTAGCGGAATATGGCCTGCGACTGAACGTAGCAAAGACCGAGTACCTGGAATGCGGAGAGCGAACCGATGGCACAATTAGCATCGACGGGCAGCCGTTGAAGAAGGTCGCCATATTTAAATACCTGGGTTCCCGAGTGACGTCGGATTGCGACACGATCATTAATGCTCGCGCTGGGACGAACGCGGCTTGGATAAAATGGCGGCAAGTAACAAGAGTACTCCGCGACCGCCGAATTCCAAGATATCTCAAGTCGAAAGTGTATCAGACTGTGGTTAGGTCAGTCGCCCTGTACGGAGCCGAATGTTGGCCAGCAACTAGGGAACACCAGCAGATCCTGAGCACGATGGAGACGCGAATGATAAGATACTCGGCCTAACGAGAAGAAACTGCGTCGTCACGAACACTGATGTGCGCCGGAGTTGCAAATATCGCGGATAAGATGCGAGGTGCCAGATTACGATGGTATGGTCACGTTTTACGAAGTGAAGATAATGCAGTAGCAAGAACAGCACTTCGTCTAGATCCACAGGGGAAAAGACTACATGCCCGGCTGAAGCAACGCTAGTTGGACACCATTCGAAACGGCCTACACAGTGCAAAGCTGAAACCACAAAAAGCAGCTGATCGAGTCAAATGGAAGCAAAAATGCACCACCGCCGACCCTGCCCCCGCGGGAATAGCGAGGATAGACAAGAAGAAGAAAAAATGGACTGCCGCTGCTTGAAAGTGATACTACGCTGACAGTCAGTCGAGCATCTTTTTCATGGGCACAGTTGGTGCTCTTTTTCATGTCTAATTTGGAAAGTAATTTTGGGGCCCTAACTAAGACATTGCCCAAGCGGTAGCCCGAATTATTCACTCATGGCTGAGATATTTGCCTCCGAACTAGACCCCAGTATCGTATCAACGGACGACTTGCATCGTGCTTGCTGCTTTCGCGCGAGGACACACTTGGAACTGATAGGTGGTAGTGCCGTGAGTATACCATATGAGCTGCCGCTTAGGCAGTGCCTTAGTTAGGCTCCAATAATTACTTTCCTCATGAGATCCCTATGTCCTCTGACTGGCGCTGTCTTCAATAATTCGTTTGCTTCGATGTTTTCTGTAGAACTTTGAGCAACACTTTAGAGAGCTGGCTTCAAGTTAGGTATAAAGCTAGAGCAAAACTCCGGTCTTTGTTCGTTACTGTAGGATTGGAATTCAGCATACTGCGCCCTGGTGAATAGACCGTTTGATGAGAAACTTCCAAAAACCTAGAGAATTTTGTATCCGGGTTTTCAGCATGCTGATTTTATGCAATTTTTTACAAGATTTCTGAGCTTTTTTACACGTGTAATCACATTCGTGAAAGAAATTTGGGAGAGCAGTTGTTGCTGTTTTTCTGGTATAACTTATGAAGGAAGCATGACCTGATCTGCAAATTTTGTCTAAATTCAGCGACTCCGATCAGCTTAGTATAAGAGTTTTGGCTTGTTTGGCTTTAATTCGGAGGCAAGGTTTCAAGGTTCCCACCGTAATCCTACAGCAGCGAAGACGGATCAGAGATTCGCTACATACTGTGAATCTATGTTGAAGCCAGCTTTCCAGAATGGTGAAAACGGTCGACAAAAGACATCAAAGCAAGTAAATTATCAAGGATCGAACTGTGTGCACACCTTTTTGGGACACGCTGTATATAATCTTTGGCAGCGGCGATGTGAAGAACCAGGTAAGCGAAGTGCAGAGTGTGCAGCAAGTTGCGTTAGTGAGGTGGAATAAAGTTTATGACATCAGCATAACTAGGTCTTAGTTGCCTACGCAAGTTCAATTATCAAATAACTCAATTACTTTGCATAAATTCTCCTTATCAATATTGATAGCAAAATTGTAAAAAAAAGTGCAAAAAACGTTCTTAACGTTTAAAACGTTCTATTTGTTGGACTGATTTGGCTAATGCTCGCAAATGGACTAAACGAGAAAGACGAAAAAATGACTGCGTAGAAAAATTGGTCTCCCAAATCTTTTGCTCAAACACCTTGCATATGTTCACTTTGATTATATTCATTCAGCGATTATTACAACAACTACAAGCACGTCTACGACAACTACAACTACTACGACCACTTTGACTACCACAACCACTTCGACCACTACCACAAAGAGTACAAATACATCTGCATTGCCGACTGCGACTGATAGCTACAGTGGGCAACATATTGATGGCTACGAAAAACATGTGAGACAAAGGGAAAGCAATATGTACGTAGTTAATCTCTACTTGCTATCTGTTGCCGGTTATTTAAAAGAATCAATTTAGCGTTTCCCTTCTATTCATGGTTGTCCCACTGGTGGTCACAAAAATCTTACTGCTTATACTGCTTATACTGACCATACAAAAACTGAAAACTATTAGAAAGCATCACGGTGATCAAAAGCCACCTCATCGTTCGGATGAAGGAAAGGAAAAGAGCAGAGATAGCGCAGAATTAACGATGTCGAATGAACCGTCCAAGGAAAGTACAACACCATCGAAGGAATCTGTTACACAAGCTAAAAGTCTTTGATGAGCTTGAGAGTTTTAAAGCTAGAAAATAGTGCTATTCGATAATGCTCATTGGTTTTTCGTATCACATAACAGTGTTCAATAAAATATTAAATCTTTGTCTGAGAGTGGAAAATTTTTCACATATCCTGTAGCTGTGTTGTAATTCGTTTGAACGCTAACAGTAAGCTCATGCATAGACACCATCAAGCCTACTAGAATGTCTTGAACAAAATTCAAGGTCACTAACTAGAAAAAAATACCAAATTATCCACTTTGTAACGATATCTATCTGGTATGGTTTACCAATTTGGAACGCTAATAATCTGCATTCACTCTGCTAAACGGTCTCTTCAAAAGAGTTACCACCATATTTACGACTCGCAGAAGGATCTGACCCTGTGACCCTTTGCCTACGAAGGTCACACTTGTCACCTCAAACTTTCCTATGGAATAATTTTTTGTCTTCTATTGAACATTTAACATGTTTCGGACCGCGAAATCGCGCGCGGCAAAAAAGCGTGGACTTTCAGCCATTAGCCAACAAAGAGGCCTTATTTTTTAGACTGAATGCTACATCTGTAATCAGCTGATAAGTTCCATGCCCAGAGTTCTGAATGGTTTCGAAGTGTTTAGATTTTGTCGTTTGTGAAGGACTACTGTGCTCTCCTAAAAGATAGGAACAAGAACTTAGTTTCTAATAGTATCCAAAAGTATCTATGTTGTAGACGGTACATATCAGTATTGAAACTACGGTTTTTCTCTTTAATATCGAAGCAAAGGAAAGTTGCGACGTCGCACGCGTCGTTCGCCTCGCCGCACTTCGTTGCAACTGTTGTTCGATTTGTGCTCATATCTCCTAAACAAATGTCGGCGGCACAACTCTGCAGAGTCTTTTGAAAAGTAGAAACTTAGGCCTTTGACTTGATAACCTTGGACTAACAGAAAGCCCCCTGTAAACGTCAAAAAGATTATTCAAAGCAGCGTGCTGCACCATGTGCAGCACTGGTCCGAAACGTGTTGACAAGTGCAGCCTTCCTCAGAAAATAAACGCTGTAAAAGAATGTTTAATATTTAGTGAATGCGAGTTTGAGCTCAGCATTTCAACCCAAGACGAACCATATGCATATGTTTTGTCACAGATGGTAGGACCAATTTGATACCTCCTCGTGTCAGCAGGAATACCATTGGGCTCTTAAAGCATATCACGGTACCTTCCCATTCAAGATGACTTCGAAAAAGACTGTAGGGACCTGCTAAAAAAAACTCATTTCTGAAAAATTCCTATTGCCAGATTAGGCCCTGCTTATGATGTATCCGCTAGTGGAAAGTTGGAAAGGGAGCCCAAGTTAGCCATCGCCTTAAAGTATAGCGCTAGCTAACTTTAATGCCGATTACAGACGCAAGCAGCACAAATACGAATAAGCAAATGATGTGAGTAGCTATAATTAGATGATATATCCAAGAATTTTGGTTCTAAAACCTAGCATGGAAGAAATAAATACGAGAGAGCAAAGGCAGCGTTTCATGTGAACATGCTGATTACGATTTTCTTACTGAAAAGGCCGAGGAACCGCGTTTGCCAGCTAGTGCTCTTATAATAGGTTTTGTTAGGCCCCGGACAAACTTCACGCGATTTGATCGTCGCGACTGAATCGCGACGAGACAACTGTTACAACATCATTTTATGCCGATCAACTTGCATTTCGGTTGTGATACTTTTCCAGCCCGAAATTTTTGAATGTGAAATGAAAATGAATGGAAATGTCGGCGATTGAGTCGAGACGATCAAATCGCGTGAAGTCTGTTCGGGACCTTACACAGGTTTGAGGTATGGCTGTGCACGGTATATGGGACTAAGTACCGCGCGACCGCAATCACAAAAGCGATAAACCTTAGAATTTCAGCCATCCAAGATAGATCAATAAATTTGAAGGTAATAAATGAGGTGGTTTACAGTGAGACATTATAAGTAACCAGTCTTATCGTCCACACTGAGCTTGCTGCGCGGCAGCGCTTAGGAAATGCGCAAAATGTAAACTGCGATCCCGAGTTGATGCTATACCTCAGCGAATGGTTTGCGCGTAACAACATGTAGGTACAATCATTTCAAATGATGCACGAAGTTGAACGAGCCTGAGCAGGAAGCCGCCCGTCGGGAGAACAGACAGCCACCAGTAATCAGAATGATTTTCGATGACAATAGAGAAAGAGGAGTTACTAGGGGAAAATACTTCGTGCCGATCACTAATGAAGTTGCAATCGTTCACGTCGGAGAGGAAATAATGACATTCCACCTGTACGAAGGCTAGCGGTACATTTGCGAGAATCGAGTGGGGTTTGTTTGATGAACATAAGCGATATTGATAAAAGATGCGCCCTCTCACGTATCCACTCCTTTTTTTCCCACCGGAAGGGGCGGATGAGTTCCCATTTTGTTGGACAGAAGAGGAGCCCGCATTACGCAAATGAAGTATTACTCTTACCTATTCTCCATTCGTGACAGCTTCAATCCGATTTTGCACGCGAGGAAGCTCTTCCAGCAATTTGCCGTTGATGCTTATGTGAAAGTAGAACAGAATCGCCTTAATTACCAAAGGACCCATCAGCAAGTTCTACGAAGCGAGTCCTACAGAGGTTTACAGGATTATCTCATGCGAGAAGATAACCAAGGTCATCCTAGCAGTCGCATCATATTAGCATCCTCTCATGTGGGTAGTCCGAGGGCAATGCAGCAATCATATCAGGATGCTATGGCAATCGTCGCTCGGTTTGGCAAGCCCACCTACTTCTTGACAATCACATGCAATCCTCGATGGCGCGAGATTCAAGAAAATCTGTACGAAGGTCAAACCGCCTCAGACAGACCCGATCTGACTGCGCGAGTTTTTCACGGCAAACTCAAGGAGTTATGCGACGATCTCTTCATAAGGAATCCTTGGCGAAGTTGACGCTTACGTGTATGTGATCGAATTCCAATAAAGACGACTACCTCATTGTCATAAGCTCCTGATCATGAAACCTGCGTACAAATTACAGACGGCTAGAGACGTTGACAATGCCGTATGTGCGGAAATAGCCGACCCAGAGCAGGAGCCGGCAGCATATGCAGCTGTCACCGCATATATGTTGCATAAAAAATGTGGTGCAAGCGAAACTACATCAATGGAAGCTGATGGCTATCCGATGTACAGAATAAGAAACAGAGCAATCTATACAGTCAGTGGCATAGTCTACAATGATGCATGGATAGCTCCCACGAATTTGTATCTAATCACCAAATTCAACTGCCACATAAATCTTGAGGTATGCGGCACTATATCGGCTGTCAAGTACTTATACAAATATATTTATAGGGCTTATCAAATTGAGTGTCGTTTGCACCAGCATCTCCATCTTCGCGCTGGACTCTGCGTCTCTTCCGCGGGGCTGCTCTCTAAGGCACTTTCCCAGGGCGAGCGTGGGAAAGGCGGAGTCTCAATCGATTGGAAGTGACTAGGGAACATGTGCCGCAGAAGAGACGCAGACCAGCGCGAAGATGGATGCTGGTGCAAACGACACTCGATTTGATAAGCCCTATATAAGGGTCCAGACAGAGCACGAGTCACCCTTGAAAGTGAAGGTGGAGCAGACTCTGATGAAATCAAGCAGCACCTGAATACGCGATGTGTGTGCCCAACTCAAGCACTGCACAGAGTATTTGGCTATTGCCTGCAGGACAGATCACACAACGTATGCCAACTGGCTGTGCATTTACCAGAATTTCAGACGGTACATTTCGTTGCGGGTGAAGAGCAACAGTATTTTGAACGGGCACAGAGTCGTTTCACTACTCTGACAGCATACTTTGAACTAAATCGGCTACACAGAACGACCGGCGTAGACAATCTTATCGCAAGCGTTGACTCCACAGAGCTCTACTATTACAAATTGGAGCATTCTTTACCGCTCAACAAGGCTGGCGACCGAGAAGGCGGAGAGGAGGCGAAATTGGAAGAATGTATAAGGTATCGCCAAGAGATGTTGAAAGATACTGTCTGCGTCTTCTGCTATCAAATACTAAGGGGAAAACATGTTTTGAAGACCTAAGGACAGTGGAGGGACGGATATATCCCACGTTTTTAGATGCAGCCAAAGCATATGGTTTGTTAGATGATGACAGTTACTACAGTGAGAAAGCCTGCAGGAGGCAATGCACCAAACACCAGCTGCGCTGCGTAGCTTTTTCGCTTGCTTACTCTGTTACTGTGAAGTGGCAAACGCCCAAGAATTATGGAACGAATTAACTACAGCATTGTCTGAAGATTAGGCGCATGATTTGATGAACGGCAAGCTACTGCGATTGCTTACTATGGCATAGCAGACAGAATGGTGCTTATGGGCAAAGACTTGCAAATGGCCTTTGCAACAAATGATTGCACCGCCTGCCAATGAACGACCGCCCATGCATATGAGTCCTGTCAATCATGAATTCCATCGCTCCAAAGGGACACGCTTATACGAAACGTTAAACACGCAAAAGAAAGCGGCTGATGATATATGTGAGGCCATGAGCTGCGATAACCACCGCTGTTTTTTTTTATCGACGGACCCGGTGGGACAGAAAAACATACCTGTACAGGACGATTTACAGCTTAGCGTTGGGGCAGCGGCGCCAAGTACTTTGTTTAGCGTGGACAGGTATCGCTGCAAATCTGCTGCCTGAAGGTAGGACTGCGAATTCAGCATTTAAACTGAATATGGCAGACGAAAATCGCACCTCAACCTTGAAGCGACAGCAGAAGGAAGCACTGCAGCTCATGAATACAGACGTAATCATCTGGGATGAGATATCAATGGCACCGAAATTTGCTCTTGAAGCTGTAGATGCACTGCTGCGTGATTTGATGCAGAACGATAGGCCATTCGGCGGAAAATTGCTCATAGTGGGCTGTGATTTCCGACAGATCCTGGCAGTAGTTAAGCACGGAAAAAGGGAAGAGATCGTTGAATGCTGTGTTACTCGATCGGTACTGTGGCCGCTATTCAGAGTGTACCGTTTGAAGGCCAATATGAGATCCACAGATGCGGGCCACGAATGGCACAAGTTTCTTCTTGATGTAGGAAGCGGGCAAGCTAACAACGAGGAGGACAGAATTGAATTGCAAGATGACTTCTATGCTCAGAAGACTTAATCACGGCAATCTTCGGTGCAATGTCAGATCAGGAAGCGGAAAGATTATACAAGAGAGCAATTCTGGCTCCAAAAAACAAACATGTAAAGAGGCTCAACGAGGAAGCCGTGGAACTACTGCGCGTCAGGAGCGCAGAGGACGAACGTGTATATAGGAGTGCGGACGAAGTTGTGGTCCCAGAAGGTGCTAATGGAGGGTTGTTTCCGATAGAGTACCTAAATTCGCTTGAACCTTCCGGGATGCCATTACACGAATTGCGATTAAAGGAGAGGGCCATTGTGATGCTCCTTCGTAATCTGGATATTGCCAATGGGCTGTGCAATAGTACGCGTTTGAGAGTCGAAACTTTAGGACGTCGCATTCTTGGTTGCCGTTTCATATGTGGTGACCATAAGGATGAATTTGCAATGATTCCCAAAATAGATAACTACTGGGACGGAAGCATTCCTTTTCGGCTAAAACGACGACAATTTCCTGTATGCGTCGTTTTGCCATGACTATAAACAGGTCTCAAGGACAATCTTTCGATAGAGTGGGGGTGTATCTCCCAGAAGACGTATATACTCACGGTCAACTATTAGGTCGTTCCGAAAGTTCTTTCCGTTTTTTCAACATATCATGAAAACACGTGGAACGAAGAAAGAGAAACGCTTCAGGCATTGTCCGACGCAACTTTTCTTCCTCTTTTCAACCGTCATATTCTTGTGCCGCTCGCTCTTGTGGTCAATGAGATAATAGCCGAAACTTCGGACCCATGGTTTTTACCATGTGCAACTTTGGCAACTTTTCACTATCTTCTTTTTTGACTTTTGGAAAGGCTTTGATAGCAGTCGGATAGTGTAAACAAAGTGCAATATCATGCAATCTTCCGGCATCTATAGCTAGCCTCAAAACATTTTTAGAATTATTCTGATGCTATCAAATTCCACTTCTGTGGATGCCAGAAGCCATAGAACATAAAACGGCGCACAACTAAGGTGTCATTCGATGCAGCTTTTTCTCGTCTTTCTGATGAGTGCTTTTTCTTCTTAGTTTGTGGGATCTTTGGCGATAAAATTTCCATAAATCTTGATTTTGAACCCGCCTCATGATGTGCCCGCGAAATGCGAAATCTTATATTTTGAAGCGGTAAACGCTCAGTTACTTTGTAAAAATAGTGTACAATCATAAACGACTTTTGAAATTTCGAAAACCGAAGATTTGTTGATGTTCAGAGCGTTTGTGTGTTTTGTGACTCTGAAAAGTGAAGACTTTTGGAAAAGTTGTCTCAAAAAATAATGAGAAGCCAGCTGAAATTGCCAAAAAATTGCATTGCATTGCATTTTATTTACTCTATCTGAGTGCTATCAAAGCTTCTCTAGAAGTCTAAAAAGAAGATTGTGAAAAATTGCCAAAATTGGACATGGTAAAAACCATAGGTCCGAAATTTCGGCCATTATCTCACTGACCACAAGAGCGAGCGGCACAGGAATATGATAGTTGAAAAGAGGAAGAAAAGCTGCGTCGGACATTGCCTGCAACATTTCTCTTTCTTCGTTTCACGTGTTTTTATGATATGATGAAAAAACGGAAAGAACTTTCGGAACGGCCTAATATATGTAGCATTCTCAGGTGTTCGCTCTCCAACCGGTTCAAAAGTGGGTTTAGGCAGATCGGTAAAAAATGTCCTTTATGACGAAGTACTACTGTAACTGTGCTGCAAGGTATTCACCAGTTTCGTGCATTCACAAAATCGAAGAAATTTTTTTTCATAGAGCAACCAAATGAAAATCAGCTGATATTGGTATAGCCAATATGATGAAGTTTCCCTATATCCACAAGGGCCCGTAGTAAAGCTGCCTCATTCGATCTCAACTGAGGAAAGCTTCAGTTGAGGCTTCGACGAGTCAGCTCTGCCTCAGGTGAGCCATTGATTCATACCATCCATGCTACGTGATAATCGTTTTCGAATAACCACGTGCTTTTGACAAGTTGAAACTCGGCATACCTGACTTCAGATATCTCACTACCTACTCAGACACTTTTTCCGACGGCCCGCGCGCCTTGAGCGTGCGAGCGCTCATGCCTCCCGCCGCCCGTGGAATGAAGGTACGCGGCTCGCTCGCTGAAGGCGCGCCGCTCGCCCGCTCCTTCGAAAGCGTTGTAGGACCCTATTGTAATACAGATAGCAATCCTTTGATAAACTTCATATTTTGTCATTGAAATACGACCTCATACCCTCAGATTTATTGCCAAACATGTGTACAGGTATGATTATGGCAGATTTATTATCCAAAGACTTACAGAAAGACATAATACAGAATCAAAAGCAGAACACAACAGGCAACAACTATAAAATCATCAATACCTTTTACGCTAAACCCCTACCGAATACACGTAAAGCATAACAGCCATGCTGATACTGAGAAAGCACTGATAGACACCGGTAAGAATGACCTGATTAAGCAAAAAAAAACCGGAATCCTGTCAGAATCATGACACTGAGGCAGTGAACACGGAGATCTTGATGAAAGTTTGAAGCAAGGTACCATTATATTACGAAAGATGAAACACTAAAGAGAAGACACTGAACAGTACTTGTAAAGAAAACACAAAAAGAAAAAATTAGATTGAATCAGGATGAATTGAATTGAATCAATCCTAAATCAGGTTGAGCAAGTCAAAGCATATATGACATCCCAGAATGTGCAGCCGTACTGTCATGCGATTAGCAATATGCCATAGCGAGTGGATGTCCGATCCTACCATGCAATTCAAACTGCCGTAAGTGACTTTAGCGCGTAATACGATATCGGATCTGATAAACACCTAGAAACAATTTGTATGTTTTTATCAAAAACAATGTACTCGTACTTACGTAATAGACCGCTTCGTTAAACTCCTTGCGATGCATCTTCGATAAAATTAAACGGGCTGCCCTGTCAATGTGCAAGATTCCGTTCTCAGCGCATTCATGAAGTGATCTAGGCAATGGAAGAGGCTGAACTCCTCGTAGGGGAGTTTCAACGTGAAACTCGCGTCTTTCGTACACGTTACCTGAAAAACAAAGGGAAACATAACAGAAAGGAAAAAAAGCAAAAGCTATGAACCTTGTGGAACTTCTAATTCCATCAGGATATCTGAGAATGCCGCTTCGTCTTCGACAATATTTTCCACAAAAGGATTCTCTCTACTGAAAACGAAACTACTAGAGCTAATAAAACCAGATAACAAACATACCCAGTGAGACATGGTGGAAAAACAGGTCCAGGCTTCGCATACGTTTGTGTTCCTCCAGATTTACGCTTGAGACTGACCGCGGCCCGGTACATCTTTCAAAATATTGTAATATCAGGAAAAAGCATAGCAAACAACTCTGGTGATGGCACCAAAAAACCACTCTGCACGAAAACGTCTTCCTGCATAGTTACGGTAGGGGCCGAAATCACAAATTGGCAAATGTATCTTTTCCCGTGCTTTGCTTAGGCAAAAGCCGCAGCAGGGTGTGTAGCGCACGGCGGTGGTCGTGTGTGCAAAGCTTCAGATCGTCCGAATCGCCGTACACCCGTTTCAAGCAGAACTACGTTTTACATCCGTTATCGTGTAGCTACCGTAATTCGAGAAAATGACGCTACGGTTCAAAACCAATGTGATATTCAGCATCAGCGGGCCGAATAACCCCTCTGGGCCAAGTTTCGGGCAAATCTATGATGTTGGCCCCTACCGTATACCAACCGTAACCGTGCATGGAGGCGTTTTCCTGCGGTGAAAAGGTGATATTCGTGATCAGCGCCTCAGATAACTCCTCTAGGCCAAGTTTGAGCGAAATCCATGACAAAAAAATTTGAGGCCCGGATAGCCGAATAGCGGACGCAATACGGACGCTAAGATGCTACGGAATAGGGAGCACATGGATGACAATGGCTGTACACATGTGAACCAGAAAAAACTTACAGAGAATGGAGACGATTAGCCGGCAAAACGGACAAGCAACCAACGATGCGATAAAAAATGCAACCTCCTACGGCTAACAACGAATTCAAAATGATGCTTACGCGTCTTGTTAAGTTACATGTTCGTTGTTCTTACATATTTGTTGATGGCGCGCCGCTCGCCCGGTCACTCAAGATGGCGCGCCGCCCGTCGAAGGCAAGGCGCGCCGCTCGCACGGCAAGCTTCGATGGCGCGCCGCCCGTCGGAAACGAGGCCACGCCCATAAATCTAGGCGCGCCGCTCGCACGGTAGGCTCATGAAAGCGCGCGGGCCGTCGGAAAAAGTGTCTGAGTAGAATAAAAAAGCTTGTTCATATTCGTGAAGACTTCTGCCTTTCCACTCTACGATGTCATGTTTCGGGATGGGTGATAAGTCGCTGCACTGTTACAGCTGCAGGGAGACCTGTTTTGAAATTCAAAAGTTGAAACTGTTTCAAACTCCCGATACATTTGCACTGCGTGAAGCAATCGCACCGACTCTGCAGAGAAATTTGAAGACTTCAACTGTCGTGCCTAAGAAAATAAAACGGAGAAATTGGCTTTTCGTAACTAAAAGGCAACGCTGACTGAAATTCACTTAATTTCCAACCATATCTAAGCCTCAACCTTAACGCACCATCTGCAAAACCATTTTGAATGCTAACTCATGCAAAAATATTCTTTGTACAACATTTTCTATCAGTTACGTATATTCCACGCAAGAGATTATTTGTGCGGTTTCTATGTAACACTCTAAGTAAAAACGCAAGCCTTAGGCAACTATAGCTGTAAGAGCAGGCAACGTGAACCTGCTTGCTCCTGTCCGTGATTTTTAGTAGTAAGGCATATATTGGTCATAGGCCCTCTTCTGTTATGCCTCCAATAATGGCATAAAGGGGCGCTAGAAACGTAGAAAACGAACTTTTCGCCCAACTTTTTGAGCTCGGGTGAAGTACGATATGTCGCCGATTGTCGTTGGGCAGCACCTTTGTCTAATGGTAATTTTGCATCCCATTGGAATATATATAGCTAGAGAATATAGACAGATTTGATCAAGGGTCTTTAAAAGCTTTATTCACCAGAAAGCTCGAGATCCTTTGTACTGAGTAAGTACTATTCTCGGGTTTCCTGTCTACAGATTAAATGATCTTTACTTTTGTATGTAAGGACAATGCAGTCTACGTATGTGCCGATGAGCCGCAGATTTTGCGTATTCGAAAGGTTATGAATTTCATTACTTTCCGCTTGATCGAAGTGGCGATTGGGGTTGGACGCTAATATCGGGTGTACCTTCTATATCGGTGAGGCGTTCTTCTGAAAAAGTTATGAGTCTTCCCTTTTCAAATTTTCGTGCATTTTGTGTCGTAAAATAACGGCAATTTCCACACAAAAGTATATGCAGGCTCAATTAAACTATCTAATAAGCGTTGTAGCGTCTTCTGACATAATCTGAACGTTTTGAGTGTTGTCAAGCCATACTATAATCCGCAAGTCGTCATTTTACTTCTAGACCACACCTCTATTATATGTAGATACATTCCGTAGGCGTATATACATCACCTTCCCAATTGCCACTTCGACCAAACGGACTTCCCTTGTTATACATAAAGATAACACTGGTAATTCAAAAAAAAATTCATGCATAAAAACTATTTATCAGTACGGGGCATTCTAGTATGAAACTAGTAAAACAAAAAAGAAGCCTCTTTTCCCTTCCAATTGTTTATTCGTTTCTGGTTCCCTCCTTCTCCTTTTCAAGCTTGCTAGTGTTTCTGCCTCGCCTAACACATGAGTTTCCTGTAATTTACCAAATATATATTAGTTTGTTGATGAAGTTTTGCATCTTTCTCCATGACTATTTTCTCTCTAGGCGAAGTGGTCAAAATTCGGCATAATGTGAAACTGCATTGTCAACTACAGAAGAGCACAAATTCTTTGATTTTTGTGAAAAAATGCGAGCATTTTTCTATAAATACTGGAATTTCGTAATTCACTGGATTACAAGCAAAAATCAAGTCCTTCGAAGCCTAAATCGAACATATCGACCCGCGACTGTTGCCGAAATTTCATTATCAGAGATTTGCTCGTTAAGCTCTGCAAAAAAGATGGAGACTGTTCGAAATCTGGCACTCTCGGTCAAGCAAGCAGCTGAGCGCGAAACTAATGCCTGCCTGTTTAGGGCTCTGCCAGACCGTGACAGTCTTATTTGCTGCCGCCAGCGGCTCGTCCAAGAGTCGCAAGGCTTCAAATTACATTAACAAATTACTAATTTTTTTCGAACGCGCTAAAGTGTCAGGAAGCTAGCAACTGGCGAGAAAAAAGGGTCCTGCATACTTTACGCCATCGTTCGCCTCGAACAAGACAACTGTTACAAGTTCATTGTAGATCATCATCTTGTATCCAGAAGCGAATTACATGATGGTCGACATGCAATAAACTGGTGACAGTTGTCTTGTCGGAAAAAAGCGAAATCGCGTGATGCATGGGTCCTAAAGGTGATTGAGAGGCCAGGAAAATTCAGTGAAACTGTGTTAGCGCACGAGCAACGGTGGCAACCGATACGATTGTCATGATCTGGCAGAAACGTATAAACGTAGAAACGCATCTACTAATGTGAATTTTCAGCCAACTGTCTCCTGAGGGTAACGTACATGGTATAAGAAGTAAAAAAAAAGTAAAGATACTTAACTTGAACTCTAACCTTATAGCCAAAAGGCTTACCAGCTGTGATGTCCTCCTCAGGGACTAATGTTTCACATGGTCTCGTTTTGAATCCCTTCAACAAGAAGAAACTGCTGCAGATAATGGGAGTACCTAAAAGAAGAAACAAAGTGGTGCAAAGTAAACAGAAAAGTGCATAAAATCATGCATTTTATAGCAAAACTAGCTGGCTTACCCGGCTCCGCCGTATCCGGACCAAACTTGGCACACATACACTTCGGGCCCCGGCGGGTGTCACAGTCCACTTTTCGTTATCGATCGATGTCGATTTTACCGATTTTTATCGATTTTTTGGCAGAGTTCACCTACAGGGCTAGGAGTTGGCACAGGGGGGAAGTGAGCATGGGGATTCCGAATACAATATTAGTTTTCAGAATTATCGATTGCTTTTATTGATTTTATCGATTTTTTGGCAGAGTTCACCTACAGGGCTAGGAGTTGGCACAGGGGGGAAGTGAGCATGGGGATTCCGAATACAATATTAGTTTTCAGGATCGTCCATTACTTTTATCGATTTTATCGATTTTTTGAAAATTTGAGCTAGGGGGCTGGAATTTGGCACAGGGGTGTTCGAGCATGCTGATCACCCCCCTTGGGGATGATCAGCATGCTCGATTACCCCCCTGTGCCAACTCCCAGCCCCCTAGCTCAAACTTTGCAAAAAAATCGATAAAATCGATAAAAGTAATAGATAATCCTGAAAACCAATATTGTATTCGGAATCCCCATGCTCGATTACCCCCCTGTGCGAACTCCCAGCCCCGTAGCTCAAACTTTGCAAAAAAATCGATAAAATCGATAAAAGTAATCGATAATCCTGAAAACCAATATTGTATTCGGAATCCCCATGCTCGATTACCCCCCTGTGCGAACTCCCAGCCCCGTAGCTCAAACTTTGCAAAAAAATCGATAAAATCGATAAAAGTAATCGATAATCCTGAAAACCAATATTGTATTCGGAATCCCCATGCTCGATTACCCCCCTGTGCCAACTCCCAGCCCCGTAGCTCAAACTTTGCAAAAAAATCGATAAAATCGATAAAAGTAATCGATAATCCTGAAAACCAATATTGTATTCGGAATCCCCATGCTCGATTACCCCCCTGTGCAAACTCTCAGCCCCGTAGGTGAACTCAGCAAAAAAATCGATAAAAATCGATAAAATCGATATCGATCGATGACGAAAAGTAGCCTATGACACCCGCCGGAGCCCGAAGTGTATGTGTGCCAAGTTTGGTCCCGATCGGTTCAGAAATGGAATTTTCTATTCGGAACATACGTACATACATACAGACATACAGACAGACATACAGACAGACAGACAAACAGACATTCAGCTTTATATATAAGATAGCATCCGAGCTCTGATCACCGCTACTTGAAGCTAAGTGGAGTTCGAGAAAGTACACTACTCGACTTAGGGCAGTGTAGAGGCAAATTTGGGAGCATCTCGATCTTAACAGGTTGCTGAAGCAACCTCACATGCAGACCATAACCCGACTGCAAAATACTGCTTTTGAAGCGAGACAGCTTCAGAACTCTAAACATATACAACTCAATTCAACTCGTCGTTACCCAAAGAAATCGTGGCGGACAATTCGCTGCAGCCAATGACAGCCTTGCAATTGATGTGTCCAGCACGATTTCCTGCCACTGAGAACAAAACTTTTGAAGCTGTATACTGCTCAGAAAGGAATATTTTGCGGTCGCAACCGAGCTACGGTCTGATAGGGACTCCGCTCAGTCATAAGTTGCAATGGCGGACCGAGGGGGGGGGGAGATAGATTGGTAAATTGGGTAAATAGATAAGATAGGGGTAAATTGGTAGATAAAGATAAGGGTAAATTGGTAGATAAGGGTAAATTGGTACTCCAAAGAATAGATACACAAAAGTTGGATACCTTATACTAAAAACAGCACAGCTCGGAGCGAGATCAACGCTTCTCGTAATCATAAGTTGCAGACTGTGAATCGAGTAATGGTTCGAGTAGCAGGTAGCTGAAACGAGCCTTAACTGCTTGATACCACAAAATAGGTGTCTTGTTCTGCTTGACCCGCTCCGTATCATCCTTTTCGTTTTCCTTATTTTTCTTCTTGTCCTCGACCCTTGCGTGGTTAGAATTAGCCGGGGCTGTAGTAGTTGCGGGAAGTGAGTGAGGGCTGATATGATGTATTTTAGAGCAAAGCATCACAACGACTAGTAGGCGCGCACCTTGTCACTGGCGGTTGCTGTGGAGGTGCAGTCAGCTTAGGTGCCGCAAGTGAAGATGGGATCAGCGGTGGTGGAGCAGCAGTATTTCGGGCAAAATAGTCTGAGAACGTCTCGCGTACTAGTTCTTGAAAGCTGCGCTCGATGCGGGGATTGTCGAGAAGTGCAAGCAGACCACTGCAAAGAGCTGTGACTTGCAGTCAACCTACTGACTAGGCAAAGCAAGACGCGGTAGCAACGAATCGATGCATACCTGGGGCAAAATTTGAGGCAGAAAGGCTCATTCCTGATAATACTCATGAACAGCTTGCATAGCATCATTGGCAGCTTTCTCAAACAGTTCGGTAAGAGCAGGGTAAATAAGCGAGATGCTCTGGAAACAATTACTTCACTTCTCAAACCGAAAACTAAAAACAACCGTGCAGACGTACTCCAGCATGGCAGTGGCCTTTGACGGTAGGTTGGCCAGTGCTATCCGAATCATGCTCATCACAGGCTCGATAAACTGCACAGATGTGTGCGGATCATATGTTAGCCAGTCACACCAGATTCTTGCACCACCGTTGTTCAACATCAGACTAAAATATTCACTTTTTCGTCTAGTCATCCCATTTGATAACAGTGAGTAATAAGAGTGAAGTAAGTGCAATCTTAAACTCTTCGATTTCAGAAATGAACTCACGTTGGGAGGGATACTCGTAAGTAATAAAGAAAATGACCACGGCCTTCAAGAACATGTGCAGGCATATCAGGCTTGAAGAAATATTAAACACAGCGTATGTATGGTTTCAGCGCGTAGGCTGACCCCATCAGGACCACGGAAAAACTAAATAACGGAAGATGAGCATGCAATACATTTTCCTCCCAAAACTTACCGAATTTGAGAAGCACTCAAAATGTTTGTCCTGAGCATTCGGTTTGCACTGACAAATGATAAAATCAATCTTTTTCGCCATCTCTGCTGCCAGTCTAACAGGATAGAAGTTCGCATTAGAACGAAATAACTCCTCTAACCCTGAAAAAGGATGTAATCACATCTGGGAGACGGTCAAGAGGCGCGATTTCTTTGAAGGTCACCAGTTTAACAGCCCAATCTAGAGCTAGGAGAGTCTTTCAAGAATATCAGACAAAGTGCTGTAGCTTAGTTAGTATTTGAAGCTACTACATACAAAGTTTGAAGGCGTTTGGTGAAAAATCAATTGAAATACCTGCGAAATTGCGATTAGTTGCATTTTCGCGAGTTTTTGACCTCCAGCATTCATGTTTTGAATTTATTTCAGATTAGTTAGATAGAGCACCCCACGGGACAATCACACATATCTTGTTGGAAATCTAAATTGCCCCTAGACCTAAAATACTAAAAATGCGCTAATTGGAGTCCATCTGGCAATAAAAATCGCGCCTCTTGACATACATAGCAAAAATGTGGAAGTGACAGGCTATGAATTTTACGACGCTCAAAATTGAGTAGTGAAAACTGTAAGCTCACTGATAGCAGAAAGATCCCATCAGCAAAAATATTGAACAAAGAGCTGCGTTTCTGGATAATGTATGTTCTATCGGTATCTGAGAACATTTCAAAGTATAGTAATTGAGCTCGACTCAAGATTACTCCAAAGGAACGATCAAGATGTTTATAAACAGGACGGAAAAAAGTCCAGCCAGCAAGTGAGCCTTTTTTGGATCGTACTGTCCATATTACCGTGCACAGAAATGCAAAATACCAATGCAACAGCAAGAAACATTTGAAAATATCCAAGTTTCGTTGAGCCTATCCACAACAGCGAGAATGTGTGCATTTTTACGTTGAATCTGTCTGCATTATTAGGAGAAGAGAGGTGTATTGTAAGTTACTCAGGAGTAACTTACGGAAACTTTCTCTAAATCTCGTCTTTAGCACACTATTTCTGGACATAATCGCTCGGCTCACCTCCGATGACTCAGCAGGGAGGTGACCTCCCTGCCGAACCTAACCGGAGGCTTACATGTCAGGTGACGTTGCATTCTTAAAGCATGGGGAAGTGGGCGGTCGTCATTTCACCTGACGGAACCTCACATCTGGGGTTCAGGGGAGGTCATCTCCGATGATCGAGGTTTACTACGGGCCAAGATCTCCGAAATTTAGCCTCAATCAATTTAGAAAAGCTGCTGTTAACTCAATAAAGAGAATCTGTTATACAGTTCTAATCACACGTGATTGATTACAAGCTGATGCTCAGCTCTCTGCCCAAAACATTTTCTTTTTAAAGCCATTGTGTTTCCAACGTTAATCTCTATCTAATTTACTTTGCGGCTCAATCACGCGCAAACACAATCGACTGCCGAAAAGTCAAGAGTAAATGAGGTTGTTTTGAGAAAAAGTCTGAGAGTCCGGCTCAAGCCGGACGATCAGACTGGTTACTTATAATGTCTCAGTGTACACCACCTCATATTACCTTCAAATTTATTGATCTATCTTACAAGGGAATGGTCAGAAGTCGAAGTGGCCAAACCAAACAAGCTGTATATTATTCGATGCAGTATAAAACGCTGACTTCGAATCTGCCTTTCTTATCTGCTTCCCGCTTCTGTAGACGAAGCTACAAGCGGTTTTATTGTGAAAAAATCATAAATAAAAACAGCGAAATTGAGCACATTGTTGCACTTTTAGCTCGGCTTCTGGCTTCAAAATTTTAAGTAAGCTACCTGCATGTTTTGGCCCAGCATTGAGGCGAACGACGCTCTGTACGGCTGAATTTTCGATTTCCGCATAATTTCTAAGCAAAATAATGGTCTTTAATGGCTTATAACTTCGTTTAGAAAAGCGATAAGCAGATAAAGAAGACAGATTTAAAGTCAGCGCTTCATGCTGCATTTAACGCTACGCAGCTTGTCTGGAATGGCCACTTCGATTTCTGACCATTCCCTTGTTGGATGGTTGGAATTCTAAGGTTTATCGCTTTTGTGATTGCGGTCGCGCGGTACTTAGTCCCATATACCGTGCACAGCCATACCTCAAACCTGTGTAAGGTCCCGAACAGACTTCACGCGATTTGATCGTCTCGACTCAATCGCCGACATTTCCATTCATTTTCATTTCACATTCAAAAATTTCGGGCTGGAAAAGTATCACAACCGAAATGCAAGTTGATCGGCATAAAATGATGTTGTAACAGTTGTCTCGTCGCGATTCAGTCGCGACGATCAAATCGCGTGAAGTTTGTCCGGGGCCTAACAAAACCTATTATAAGAGCACTAGCTGGCAAACGCGGTTCCTCGGCCTTTTCAGTAAGAAAATCGTAATCAGCATGTTCACATGAAACGCTGCCTTTGCTCTCTCGTATTTATTTCTTCCATGCTAGGTTTTAGAACCAAAATTCTTGGATATATCATTCCTAATTATAGCTACTCACATCATTTGCTTATTCGTATTTGTGCTGCTTGCGTCTGTAATCGGCATTAAAGTTAGCTAGCGCTATACTTTAAGGCGATGGCTAACTTGAGCTCCCTTTCCAACTTTCCACTAGCGGATACATCATAAGCAGGGCCTAATCTGGCAATAGGAATTTTTCAGAAATGAGTTTTTTTTAGCAGGTCCCTACAGTCTTTTTCGAAGTCATCTTGAATGGGAAGGTACCGTGATATGCTTTAAGAGCCCAATGGTATTCCTGCTGACACGAGGAGGTATCAAATTGGTCCTACCATCTGTGACAAAACATATGCATATGGTTCGTCTTGGGTTGAAATGCTGAGCTCAAATTCGCATTCACTATCTATCGTTCCTTTAGAGTGAATATTTTTTAAGGAAAGCTGCAGTTTTAGAATGTTCAATAGAAAACAAAAAAATATTTCATAGGAAAGTTTGAAGTGATAAGTGTGACCATTATAGGCATCACAGGGTCAGATCCTTTTGTGATTCGTAAGTTATATTTTTTGAAGAAACAGTTTAGCAGAGTGAATGCAGATTATTAGCGTTCCAGGTAAACTATACCGGATAGATATCGTTACAAAGTGGATCAGTTTGCCATTCTTTTTTTGTTAGTGACCTTTCTTTTTGTTAAAAACATTCTAATAGGCTTGATGATGACTATGCTTGAGCTTACTGTTGGCATTCAAACGAATTACAACACAGCTACAGGATATGTGCAAGATTGTTCCACTCTCAGACAAAGATTCAATGTTTTATTGAACACCGTTATGTGATACGAAAAATCAGTGAGCATTATCAAATGGCACTACGCTTTAGCTTTTGAACCCTAGAGCCTATCAACGACTTTTTGCTTGTGAACCAGAGTCCTTTGATGGTGTAGTACTGCCCGTCGTTAGTTTTGCCCCATCTTTGCTCTTTTCCTTTCCTTCAACCGAACGATGAGGTGGTTTTCGATCACTGTGTCGCTTTCTAATAGTTTTCAGTTTTTGTATGGTTAGTATAAGCATCATAAGCAATAGGATTTTTGTGACTATCAGTGGAACAACCATGAATAGAAGAGGAACGCTAAAATGATCCTTTACAAGAACCGGCAACAAATAGCAAGTAAAGATTTACTACGTACATACTGCGTTCTTTTTGTCTCACATGTTTCTCGTCGCCATGATGTTGCTCACTGTAGTTATCGGTCTTAGGTTTTGCTGTAACTGCACTGGCTGAAAGTTTAGGCAAATGACAAATTATACAGGGTGTCCGTAAAGTATGTATACACTGTTTAATCGTTAATATCTTTCTTCCCAACAAGTCCTTTGCCTTGCTTTAGGTACCGTTTTGTAGAGCTGGCTTCAACTTAGATTTGCAGTATAGAACAAATTACCCATCTCTCTCCATTACTGTAGGATCACGGTAGAAACTTCGTAAAGAGGGTTTTGGGCCATGAAAGGCCATATTTTCCCTCGGAAAAAAAAGAAAACAGCCTGAAAACTTTTACACTAGGCTAATTAGAGTTGCTGATTCTAATTGTAAAATTCCCAACTTATTATGATGTTTCATTAAAGAGTTATGCCGGGTAAGAGGTAGCGGCCATTTTTCCAGTGTTCCTAAAAAGTGCGGTCACACCGCTTAGAAAGCTTCGCAATCTTGTGAATACTTGAGTATTGAACTCAGCGTCCATAAAAACCCTATTACACAAGTTTTCACATTTTTTTGAAATTTTTGAGACGGCAGCTTTTTCCACATTTACACTATATGTTTCAAGTTTCTACCGTAATCCTACAGTAATGAAGAGAGATGGGTGATTCGCTCCATACTGTAAATCTAAGCTGAAGCCAGCTCTACAAAACGGTGCCTAAAGCAAGGTAAAAGACTTGTTGGGAAGAAAGATATTAATTAAATATTGATCAGACAGTGTATACATACTTTACGGACACCCTGTAGAATAGGCAAGTTATAGAATAGGAGTGATAAACTGAAATAAGAACAGCGTACCTCTAGTGCTGGATGTCTCTGCCAATGCAGGGTAGTTAAGGGTAGTTGTTGGCATGGTTGTCGTAGTCGGGGATGGAGATGTAGTTGTACTCGTTGTGGTAGTGGTCGAAGTGGTCGTGGTAGGCGAAGTGGTTGTAGTAGTCGTAGCTGTCGTCGATGTGCTTGTAATTATTGTTATAATCGCTGAATGAGTTTAATCAAAGTGAATATATGCGAGGTGTTTGAGCAAAAGATTTAAAAGACCAATTTCTTACGCAGTCATTTTTCTCGTCTTTCACGTTTTACTCCATTTGCGAGGCATTAGCCAAATCAGTCCAACAGATAGAACAGCACGTTTTTTGCACCGTTTTCACAATTTTATATCAATATTGATAAGGAGAATTCAAGCGAAATAACTGAGTTATGTGATAATTGAACTTGCGTAGGTGACTAACAATAAGACCTAGTTATGCTGATGTCATAAACTTTCTTCACATCTCACCAACGCAATTTTTCCTAACGATCCTTGCACTTCGCTTACATGGTTCTTCAAACCGCCGCTGCCAAAGATTATATACAGTGTGTCCCAAAAAGGTGTGCACACAGTTCGATCTTTGATAATTGCTTGCTTTGATGTCTTTTGTCGACCGTTATTCGCCATTCTGGAGAACTGGCTTCAACATAGATTCACAGTATGAAGCGAATCTCTGATCCGTCTTCGCTGCTGGATTACGGTGGGAATTAGAAACCTTGCCTCCCAAATAAAGTCAAACAAGCCAGAAACTCTCATACTAAGCTAATCGGAGTCGCTGATTTCAGACATGGAATTTGCACATCAGGTCATGATTCCTTCACAAGTTATATCAGAAAAACAGCAACAACTGCTCTCCCAAATTTGTTTCAAAAAATGTGATTACACCTGCAAAAAAGCTCAGAAATCTTGTAAAAAGTTGCATAATGAAATCAGCATGCTGAAAACCCTGATACACAATTTTCTAGCTGTTTGGAATTTTCTCATTCAACGGTCTAATTCAACAGAACTATGCTGAGTTCCTAAACCTAAAGTAACAAATAAAGGTCGGAGATTAGCTCTAGCTTTATACCTAGCTTAAAGCCAGCTCTATAGAGTGTTGCTTAAAGGCAATGTTTCAACAAAGTTGAGGTCGCGCGGATCTTCACATATTATAATATAGGGATCTCTAAATAGGCCATTGCAACAAGTCCCACTCAATTTGACCCCCTTCACGCTGAGAAAAATTCGCTCAAAGTGGTACGCGGAGAGCGATTTGGTAACCGCGGACGACTCCTTCGGTCTCCCCCCTTACGCGTTTGAACATGTCCCTCCACTTGGCATCCACCTCCCCTCTGTTGCTGCCACTGTAGCTGAGGCTGAAGTTGGAAGGTACAACTTGTCCACGTTACTTCCGCGGGGCCTCCAGAAAATGAGGTTTTTTGGCACTTCGTGCGATTTTAAGCTCATACAGTGCTAGATAGGGTCCGACAGGCTTGCAAATGCAAAAATCTCGGCAACCAAATTTTAGTGAGACACTGCCTTTAAAGTTCTACAAAGACATCAAAGCAAGCGAGTTATTAAAGACAGTGTCCAGTTAGATCTGGATATAGGGGATCTCATGAGGAAAGTAATTATTGAAGCCTAACTAAGGCACTGCTTATGCGGCAGCTCATATGGTATACTCACGGCATTACGACCTATCAGTTCCCAGTGCGTCCTCGCGCGAAAGCACGATGCAAGTCGTCCGTTGATACGATACTGGGTTCTAGTTCGGAGACAAATAACTCAGCCATGAGTGAAAAATTCGGGCTACCGCTTGGGCACTGCCTTAGTTAGGGCCCCAAAATTACTTTCCAAATTAGATATAAAAAAGAGCACTAACTGTGCCCAAAAAAGATGCGCGACTGAGTGTCAGCGTAGTATCATTTTCAAGCAGCGGCGGTCCACTTCTTCCTCTTCTCCTTTATCCTCGCTATTGTCCCGCGGGGGCAGGGTCGGCGGTGGTGCATTTTTGCTTCCATTTGACTCGATCAGCTGCTTTTTGTGGTTTGAGCTTTGCACTGTGTAGGCTTTTCGAATGGTGTCCAACTAGCGTGCTTCAGCCGGGCATGTAGTCTTTTCCCCTGTGGATCTAGACGAAGTGCTGTTCTTGCTACTGCATTATCTTCACTTCGTAAAACGTGGGAAGGCCGTACCATCGTAATCTGGCACATAGCCTCTTATCCGCGATAGGTGCAACTCTGAAAATGTGTCGCACATCAGCGTTCGCGACGCAGTTTCTCCTCGCTAAGCTGAGTATCCATCTTACTATTCTCTCCATCGTGCTCAGAATCTGCTCGTGTTTCCTACTCAGATGATCGCAGAGGGCAGGCGGTCCGCAAACTCGTGCTTTTCTGCAGGCGATTAGCAGAATTATGGGGCGTGGTCAAACTTCAGCGGGCGGCACTTCCTTTACGGTCGCATATTCTGCCGGCGGGCAGCAATACAGCATTTTTTGCAAGCGCTCGGCAAATAATTTCTTTCAGCGAGCGCTGACCAAACTTTTAGCAGGCGCTCGGAATCTTTTTACGCAGTCGTGCATACGCCGAGCAAAGGTGAGACTGGCAGAGGTGTCACCGTTGGATCAATTACTCAAGTTTGAGGTACTTCCTCTCAGCGGAAAGTACCTGGGGGGGGGGGGTGCGCGGTCCTCCACAAAGGACCGTGCGGCGCTCGAAATTTGCATATTCTGGCGGAAAGTCCGCGAAAATGCGGCCACTGCGCCGCAGCCAATCTATAAAGAAACCGCGATTGTTCTCTAAGCATTCGTCTAAAATTTCGCAAAAATTCTTCCAAATATCTGGAAGCGGACCAAATCAGCGAACTATTTTCCCGGTGCCCGCCCGTCCATAAATCTGGCCGCCTGTCCCCGGCGATTAGTTGAGTTGGCGCGAAGGTATGAATTTCGACAGAAAAGTTCGTTTTTGACTACTATCAGATTTTAGCTTAAAACTTCACATGGATACGATTTAGGCAGATTTTTGATAGCCATCTTGTAGAGCTTGCTTTATACTGACGAATGTTTACTCAAGCCACATTAGATGAACGAAATATATAAAAATACGGCGGTTGTAGTAAAAACGGTAAAAAATTATGAGACACCCTAACAAGATAGTCAATTATAATGACTAAAGTGAACCGTTCCGTAATGCTGAATTTTTCTTGGTTGTTATTCTATTTCATTTTTTATAGGTAGAGTACAGCTTAAATACCATTCAAATCAAAATCGATGTTCTGCTTTGTCAGATGATGTCCTTTCATTCCTGTTTCCCCAAACACATTAAGCATAGCTAATTTGTAAAATTTTATACTTACCCAATCTACTTAGAATCATTTGTTTTTTGAGTGATGAAGCATTACTTGCATTATCTTCCAATTTGTAAGTGGTGATCTTTCTCTGACCTACAATTTTGATTGAGGTCCTTGGCAGGCATCTTTTGAGATTGACATTTGTTTATGCAGGTTACCGCAAAAGGAAGTGGGGGAGGGGAGGGGGATACGTGGGGGGGGGGGTACGTACGGATGGGTACCTTTAGGGGGGAGGGTCGTATATGAGGGTCCCGCATCGCATCAGCATGCTTGACCCTGGTTTGAATACTGTATAACACGTGGCGCAGAGCGTGCTTTATGGTGCCAGCTGCGCGTCCATTCAGGCTTTTTCTTCAGTTCATAACTGGCATTAGTGCATCCAATATTGAGATAAACAATTATTGAACAACTGAACCGCCACGAAGGGAGACGAAATCCCAAACTGTACATTTTGGTGCATCAGCTAAGCCATCTAGTCGGGATTCACAAATTGAACAAGTTCAGGGCGCACATATATAGTCGTCCTCCACCCACTAGACACTCAGTGGACGAATTTGAATTTGAGCAGGAGCAAACGGCTAGCGTCAGAGCGCGGCAGACGCCGCCCCGGTCAAAGTGTGCGCATATGCTGTTTTTCCATTTCTCTCCGTGTTTTCTTGTTGTTACTCGTATTGCGGCAATGTGTCATATTAGAATCGAGATTTTGCTACCGGTGATCGTTGTTTTATGCTGTTATTATCGTTTGCCTTATATTTTTTCCAGGTAAAGCGCGAAATACGACGCAGTAAAGACTAGGGGCTAGAAATTCACTTTCTCACAGAGAAGGGAAGCGCTAAACAAACAACATTACGCTTACGTGCAATTAAGGATATACATATGGCACGGATATTGCCACACAGAGCAAATATGCATCATCCAAAAAACTCACCAACACTTCTTGAAAAGATTCAGGTCTGAAAAAAATATGAAGAGCATACCCAATTGAGAACGCTTGTGCATGTTCCTGTACACCGGAAAAGGCGATAAGCGACATCCCATCAAAAATTACCTGAAAAAATGTAAGGCAAACGATAATAACAGTATGAAACAACGATCACCGGTAGCAAAATCTCGAATCTAATATGACACATTGCCGCGATAAGAATAACTACAAAGAAACATGAAGAAAAATGAAAAAACAGCGTATGCGCACACTTTGACTGGGGCGGCGTCTGCCGCGCTCCGACGCTAGCCGTTTGCTCCTGCTCAAATTCAAATTCGTTCACTGAGTGTCTAGTGGGGGGAGGACGACTATACAAAAACTGTTGAAGTCAATGTCAAATGCCATCAGCTCAGTAGATTTGCTTTGATCTCTCTTCGACTGTCGTTTTTACAACTTCTCCGCCTTCAACTTGATCATTTCCTCCCTCTCCGTCGTCTCGCCATCAATTACTCCACGTTTCACAAACGCGGATACGAACTAGCAGAAAAGGCACTGAGAGATTTAGTCACTGGCTGACCACCGACTCTTAGATATTTTATTTTGTCGCTTTTATTCATATTATTTGATGTTTGCAGTTATTATATTTTGTGTAGGCCGGAGTGTTCTACTCCTTTGATCAGAACCCTAGAAGTCATGTGCGACTGGTTTGTGTGAGTCGCACAAAAGTCTAAATATTGTAACATGTGGCCGTAGGCGGTCCTTGTTAGAAAGCCGACCTCGCGCGATCCACTCAGTCTTCTTCTTCAGCTTATAACGAGCACTTGTACATCCGATATTCCACTGAAACACCATACAAGAGAGATAAATTCCCAAGTTTCACAGCATCGCTTATGCAAACTTTTCGCAAGTTGCTGGGCATAGAGTGTTGAGAGTGGAATCAATTTCAATCCAGAGGTACTTAAACACAAATTACTTATTAGTCAATTTCACGTGCAGAGCATTTTTGCAACTCAAGAGAAGGTAAACAAATCCAAAGTAGGAGCGGAACCTCTATTATACACTTGTGATACACAGGGAGGGAAGGAGATCTACTTACGCAATGAGGGAAACTCAGTTTCTAACGTTTTGTATTTGTAAATCACGCAATGGACGTACCTGGAAAGCAATGTAGAGTTTTTAAAGATGCTTGAAAATTGTGGGACTCACAGTAAATCCCAATATGTTGGTTTACCGCACCACAAGAATTCTGTCAATGCCTCCTGAAAAGATTTTGTGGTGGAGTGCAAGCATTCAAATGATAGCTAAAAGTACTTTCAGCCATGTTTGACTATGCAGAAAATTTTTTCTTCTTTTACATTCTATGAACACATAATCGTAATAAAGGAAGCCATACAATCTACAGCAGCTGTTCTGCAACATATCAACACTTATGATATTCACCAGTACGTCACCTCTGCTTCGCAGAGGCTCGCACTGGCCTTACAATCTGTATGCCTTACTAATTCCCGCATAATGATGACAGTGAAACTCACCGAGTTATGCAGGCTATCACGAATGATTTGTAAACAGCTACTCATTCCTAGAGCTTTTTGTGCGAGATCGGTAATTTCACGTGGATGAAACTTTTCTCAAAAAATAAATGCAAATTTGAATAGGTTTGTGGATTTTACATGGCTTGGTAGTCGCCATAACGGCAATAATCATCGTGGCCTACATCTCTGTGCAAAAATCTTCTCAAATGATCACGTAAAATCTTGGGAAATTGTACATTTAGCAACTAACACTTTTTGGCGCCTTCGTAAAGTAACCAACTTTAGTTGAATTTTTTGGGCTAAAGTCGACGGCTTATACATTAGCTTGTCAAACATATCCACGAATTTGCAAAAAGTTTATATACGGACCCAATTTTGCTGGTCAAGTTAAGTGGACCCGTTTCGCGCGCAATTTCTAGGGGATCCACTTATCGGATCCGCCTGTGCTTTTGCACAATGGACTTTCCTGCTGCTCGGATGTGCTATGCAAAATTTGGGCTCAAGAGGTTGGCTGGAACTCCCCCTACGAATTTCGTAACGGACAGACAGACAGACAGACAGACACACACACACACACACACACACACACACACACACAAAAAACGTAAACAACCCTTAGCCCGTTATTATAAGTTATGATATTGTTCATTTCAAATCTGTTGAGTCAAAACCCCACTATTTCATGTGGATTTCTGATGTATTTGAGTGACATATCTATAGAATAGCCTTCTCTAGCGCAATCGGTCACATCCTTCTTCATTCTGAAGCTGTAGACTGCTTGATAGTTTTCACCATCATCTTTGTCCTAAACAGAGCTTGGAGACCGAAGAAGCATATCTGATTGATCATAACAATATATACTTCAATGGAATAATCGAACAAAGAAGCACAATTCCGTCCAAGTTTGATCATGTAATTTTATTGCTTCAAAAGCGGAGTTCGGGCAAGATTGAGACCCAAGGAGTTTGGGTCATTCAGACAAATTTTCGGCCCAGTGGTCCGCAAACACAGTGCGTGAACATTTAGTGTCGCCGGACCGTTCGGTTTCTGATATAAGTTGCTGTGCGCTTGTCTGGTCGGCGTCCGCATGAAAGCCGAGCGATCTGGCAAGCTATACCGGCCGAGCGCGATAGCTTTTCCAATCATCGTCGTTTGAGCCAATGTTGCTACAGTTTTGCGATTTTTTCTGTGCGAACGCGTACGAAACCAATAAAAACCAATATACTTTAAATCAAGAAGAAGAATACAATTTCTGTGGTTAATAAGATCAGCGCAGGCGCTGAGTTTGCTTAAAACATTTATGCTCTTCGAATCTATTTGGAGGAACAATAAATGGAAACACAAGTTTTTTGATTTTTCAAAACTGATTGAGAAACAAAAGACTATGAACAACACAAATGATCATCAAATATGCTTCAGAAGCAGGAGAAGCAAGAAAATGAGAATATTTGGATTCAACAGATACCGAATTCTCAATGTGAGAAGCCATGTGAGCAGAAAATGAGAAAAGAAAGTATTAGACAACAAAAAGGGATACCGAGGTCTTAATGACATGTAAGAGCTTCGAAACAACATAAATTCAACTAACTGTCCAGTTTATATTATATGTTGCTGTTCTCAAGGCCTCTTATCCTTTCCACGTAGGTTTAAATGCGCCAAATTTGCGGCTACTCTTTGACAATCGCGTTGACTGCGACTAAAAGTATATATTGTGCTAGTTGAATTACCTAAATAGATGATATCAAAGAAATTACATGCATAATTCTAGCGACCTTCCTCGTAAAACACTTTTCGTCTTTCCGCTTTCATCTCATACAAACTACGATATCGTAACTGGAAATATGCAGAGGCCGCAATGATTTGCCGTCAGGATTTTATGCGCTTATAACCGCAAGGTCGGCCAAGACTACTCACTAACTAGAATGAAGTTTCGATCAAAAACGTAACTGCTTTCAAATCGTATCCCAAAAAACCGATAAACCAAGTCAGGAACAAATTCATGGTTTTGTTCCGTAGGACCACCTCAAGCTTGATAACGCTTCGAGCAAAGTCATTATGACATTCGTGATCAGCGTTCCAAATCACTTTTCAAGGCAAGACCTCAGCAAAGTTCGCAATTTTGAGTTTCCAGTTTTGTTATGTGAGATAGAACTAAAACTAACCTGTAAAAGTGATGAAATATATCAGTTATTGGCTCCTTAGCACGTAAATGATCAGAGAAAAGAATAAGATGAGTAATCCAAATGTAGTAAGTCTGACGATCTGAAAAGCCATGCCCACTCGCTCTCCGCCGGTCCGGAGAGTCCTGTATATGTGCCGCCAGGCCTAGCTCAGTTCGCAAGCCACCAAGCCGAATTTTTGTCTGAGCATATGAGTACGGGAGCCTTCGGATACTTCGCGGTCGAGAAGTTAGGGTCTTAAGCACTGGGAAGGGCCCCCTTTACCTTTGATTTTCTGCCCACTCGTCCAAATCCATAATATAATGCCTTGTTAGCCCGTTTTCATCATTTTCGTGCCCTCGAAATAGATTTTGTAGCCAGATAACCCAGATAAAACTTATCCGTTGCGGTGACTTCAAAGAATATGGATGAGTCTTTGCCCGAACACTAATACAGTGGCTGCGGGCTGTTTTTGCAGTCATAACTTTGCATTGAGCAGTCCCAACACTGGTTGCGTTTTTCGGAATCTTATAAAGGTTTCGAAGCATACTTATCAGCTATTCTGTCAGATTACAGGCGCAGCCGGGTCAAGGTGCATAGTCAAATTCCTAGCGGAAAGGCCCTTCTGCACCACCAGTCATAGCAACTCAATAATCATGCGCGCCTCTGATTGGTCTGCCCTGTGGCAGCGATTATTTAAGTGAGAGAGTCCGAATGGCATTGTTAAAGCAAAGAATTGGACGAATTGTGCCAATTCAACATGAGATAAGAATTGTTCACTTCAAGTATTGCACAATTCTGTGAAAGCCAGACTTTTATCATCACCTGAGCTTCCAGTGTAGTGTTCAAAAAAGTGCGCTTGCTTGCATGCTTTGCAGTGCTCAGAAATATATATTAGGTCGGTGCAAAAGTTTTGTCAGTTTTTTCAGTCCATCGGCAAACACGCTAGAATGAAAATAAACAAATACTTCAAATTGTGTCCAATGCAGAATTTCATTATCTTTCCAGTTGCTGAACTCTCATTGTGTTTCGTTGCGAGAGTGACGAGATATTTGCTGGAAATTACAACCATTCGTTTTCACCATGTCCAACTTTCGCTAATTTTCGAAAATTTTGCATGAGACTTTCGGAGGAGCCCTGATAACCAGCAGATAGGGCAAACCTTTTTTCAACTTACGCAATCTTTTTTTTTTTCAGCTGCTTTCTCAGATTTTTGCTAAATAATTTTCTAAAAGTCCTGTGTTTTGGAAAAATCGCATAACCTGTATTGCACCAAACACTGCAAAATCTGCAGAGATCTGATCTTTAAACACACGATTATTACTATTTCTACCATTATAAGGTAAATGAACGATTTTCGCTTTGAATTATGAAGATTTTGAAACATAGATTATGTCAATGCGCACTACTGAAATTGAGAAATATTACGATTTTTCC